TAAAACAGATATGGAACCTTACAATGTGGACACGGAGTGACTAGGGTCCTACGTGGAACCTGCAAAAGTCCTGTTATATGAGGGCATCAATCATGTTGTCTTCGTTGGAAATCGGGATCTTAGTAGCGGTGCAGATTGTGGTCAATTTTTTTTTTTTTTAATTATTATTTTTCTTTTTGAATTTTTGAACTTCTTCAATTTTGAGTTATGGCCCCGCCAGAAAAAAAAATAAAAAATTCCATGAGAGGTGATTCTTAAAAAGAAAAGAGAAAAGGATGAAATCACCTTTTTAATTTCAAAAGGATGGTTGATAACGTGGCCAATCATGTTTTTTTTTTAATAATTTTTTTATATTTTTAAATTATTTATATATGTTAATATAAAAAATAATTTTTAAAAAATAAAAAATATATTATTTTAATATATTTTAAAACAATAAATTACTTTAAAAAATTACATTATCACTGTCACAAACACTACCTTACAATCCTCATGTTGTATTATATAATATAGTATATTGATGTTTGTTTCACAGCGGGTCAATAATAATTTTTTTAAAAAAATAAAAATATAAAAAATATTTTAGATCCCGTTTATTCGCTAGAAAGTAATTTTTTTTTAAAAGCAAATTCAAGGAAAGTGAATTATTTTTTTATATTTGATAATATAAAGAAAAAAAAATTTAAAAATATTTTTTAATATTTGGTTATATTATGAAAAACGAGTTGAAAAATAACTTATTAATGTTTTATTTTTCTCAAGTTTATTAAAAAAATAAAAAATAAATCTTGCAAATTAAAAAGTTGAATGAGAATGAAATTGAAAAAAAATATAATTTCATAAATTATCTCAAAAAAAAATCAAAATAATAGAGATGAAATCTAAAAAATAAAAGAATAAAAAATTAAAATAATAATAATTAACATTTCATAAATTATTTCAAATAAAATAAGTAACAATCGAAAGAGTAAGGATAAAATTTTGATACATAAAAAATTTCAATAAAGAAAGCAAATAACAATTATAAAAATAAGGACCAAAGTTAATATAAAAATTAAGTTTTAAGAAATGAAATTAAAAAATAAATATTCAAAATAATATATATATATATATATAGCAATCAAAATTTTGAGAATCAAATTTGATATAATCAGTAAATAATATGGTATTTTTTAATTTTCCACAACTTCTGAAAAGTGTTTTCCGCCTCAATTTTCCAGGGAAACACTTTCCTAAAAACTAAGTCAAATTTTCTCCTGACTAGAAGTGTTTTCTATTAACCAACTTTTCTAATGGCAAACAAACACAAGAAAATTTAGAAAGTGATTTTTCAAAAAACTATTTCTCAAAAAACAAACACAGCTTAAATGTCTTGGGTCTAATGATCGTGCGAGACCCAAGTCTCTTGGGTCTGGCAGCCAAGCCACACTAATAAAACTTGGGTCTGACAGGTATCAGATCCATAAGCCTTAGATCTGATGTCTTGACTCAACATGCGACAATAATTTTTTGAATAAAAACAAAAACAAAATGCCTCACATGATCTTCTAAACATTTATAATGTGGTTTTTATTACGAATATTATATGTCTATGGTGTAGTTTATAATATAAATATTGTATGTACATAATACTTGTATTGTGATTTTTTTATTTATTTTAAAGTATAATACAAGAAAATTATGATTCTCATTTACCCACCTCTAGCCAATTTAAGTAAACATATAGGTTTTTTTAAAATTTATTTTATATATCAATATATTAAAATAATTTAAAAATATTTTAATTAATTAATTAATTAATTAATCAATTTTTATTTGGGCTACATTCCCAAACGAGAGGCGCGAAGTAATTAAAGGATGGAACTCACCTTCTTTACTATTTATGTGAGCAATAAAGGACGTGGTTTTTTTATATATATTTTTCACTTTATTTTTTTATCATTATTTTTTAAAATTTTATTTTTTAATATTTATTTAATTTTAAATTTATTTTTATAAATTATTTTAGTTTATTTTTTTATGATATTATCATAGTCTTAAAACAAACGTTTTGATATTTGATTTATGTTTAGTTTGTACTCGATTTTACGAGCATTTATTTTTATTATTGTATAATTAAGAAAAAAATAGTTTTTTTAAGTTCTTAAATCCAGCGGAGTCCATCACCTAAATTACAAGTTTAACATGTTAAACTTCAAAATTCAGGTTAATTTAATATGTTGATGCCTTAATATTTTTTTAAAAAAATTATCTTGAATATTTTTTAAGTCAAACCACACTTTTTATTGAAAATCCAAACTGCCTTAAGCTTGTGAAGTCGACAAGCTCATGTTAAAATATTTTTCAAACGGTTTAATTTTAAACTTAAACTAAATAAAAATTTTAAAGATTGATCAATTATATCAGGTTTAATAATAAAATTAATTAGTTCCATATGATATGAACTTTTTTTATGTTCAATTTCCTTTTTATTCAAGCCATAAAATCATAACAACTCAAGCACGGGCAACAAATTCTAGAACCCGAGCCTAAAACTTTTGGGGTCAATCCAGTAGTGTATGGATATATGATAGCAATTATCTTTTAAAGTGTTTTTTTACTACAAAATATTTTTTTTCATTTAAAAAAATTAGTTTTTATATTAGTACATTAAAACAATAAAAAAACATTTAAAAAAGTTAGTTTTAAGCAAAATTATTTTTTAAAAAAATTTAATGAAACACCATCTAGAACTCAATTTTAAGCGACTTCTTCTTCAACTGAATTTAACCACGTGAAAATAAAATATAAAAATTAGTTTTTTTTCTCATCTAGTTGTTCCTTTTTATTTTTTTTCCAAAACTTAGTGAATTTCAGGATATACATAACATAACCAGGTTAAAATGTAGCTACCCTATTCAAACTAAGGGTATTAATTCTAATTTGTTTTGTTTATAATGGCTAGTGTATACTTTTTTAATTTAAAAAATGAAATAAATTAGAAGAAATTTTATCTTGTTCATAATCTTGTCCCATTCCAGGAATTTTAGCCAAATACTATTTTTTTTCCTTGTTTTTTTTTAAAAAAACTTTCTTCTCTAATCTTATCCTTTTATACTTGGTTCGATGGATATTAAGCTTTATAATTTATTGTGATTTGCTTTATTTATGGTTATCTCAATCATGCGATCCATATCACGAGTTTGACAAGTTAATCTAGTAGACTCAAGTTTTTTTTGTTTATTTGTTTTTTCAGTTTTATCATTTGACATCTCTAGTATTTGATTGATTATGAATTAAACTTTGTCATTTGCTTTGGTCTGTTTTATATAAAATGATATTAGCCTTATAACCCGGTCATAAGTTTTGTGAGTTAACCCGTAAAGACTTAGGTTATTTTATGTTCTTAAGACTTGAGTTGATCTAATACGTTGTAGTTTTAATTTTTTTAAATATCACCTTGAATTTTTTTTTTTGTCAACTTATATTTCTACTAATCATCTAAGTTGTTTTTAGATCAATTGGGTTACATCGAGTTAACTCCCATATTTTTACTAGTGTTTGAAATTTGAATTCTATAATTTCAAATTAATTTTATCTTTGAATTTGAATTAAAATTATGTATATAACTCCGACACAGCATACAGAAATACGTGGAAACCAAAAGATAAAATTTTAATTGAAAAATAAAACATTAATAGGAATTTCAGTTTCCTTTGGGAAAGGGTTTTTTTTTTCTCGTTCTTTAGCATAGTGAGATTACAAAAATATCCTTAGATTTTTAAACAAATGCTTTTGTATTCAAGGGCACTTGCATCTTTTGCACCATGGGGTTTTTTTTTTTAATTTAACGTGGGGTCAAGAGTTTTTGGCGAGTGTTGTAGAGGTTGTTCGTGCCATCTTGGTGATGCGTTACACATCCTCCGGTCTCTAAAAATACTCAATTGTCATCTTAAATGAAGCATTTCAGGATGACGCTTGTTCCTGATCAACACGTGTTGTCAGAATCATTATCAGGTGGCAGCTGCATTTTTTTTCTTTGTCTTTTTTTTATTCTTTTTCACCCGGCCAAAGTTAAAAAATTTCTTAACCTTTTGTATTATTTCAATTATGGTTCATTTTTTTTTATTGTTCTCTCTTTGCTCTAAATTCTTTTTATGATTTTTATTTTTATTATTTATGATTTTATTTATTTTTATGTGAGATTCAATCTTTTTTTTTAATTGATATTTATTTTGCTTTTCATCCTTTTTCAAATTAATTTTCTTTTCAATTTCATATCTGGTTTTTGTTTTTTTATTTGGTTACCATTATTTTCATTATAATTTCTTTCAGTTTTATTTATTTTTTAAAATTTCTTTTAATTCATCCCTCATTATTTGATTTTATTTGATTTTTATACCAAATTTGACTATTATTTTTTCAAAGATGATTTTTAAACTTGAACTGAATGTCGACCATGAGCAAGTCATGGGTCACAGATTAAATGGGTTGGCTAATGTTTCCCATATTAACCTAGCATAAGAAAAATATTTAACAGGTTATTAAATATTTTCACAAGAAAGTTGTGTTCTTATTTTTTTAATTATGGTTTATAAACCCAGCCTGGAGGTTAACCTTCGAGTAAGTCTTAAGTTATAGGTTAGGCGAGTTGGTCAGGGTTACCTGAGAAACTAATTTTTTTTATTTACAAATATGTAAAAAAGACATTATTTGGTCAAAACTTTACAAAAAAAAAACAATGGGTTTTTTTAAAAAAAATAAAAAGAATTTAACAAAAAAATTGAATTCTTATTTCCTTGATCATGATTTTTAAAGCTGGCTCAAGAGTTGATTTCAAGAAGCTCCTAGGTCACAGGTCGAATAAATTGACTAGTGTTGCTTCGATCGACTAATTTTTTTTATTATGCAAAAGAGTTAAAATTATATTTTTTTTCTAAAGATTTAACAAATAAAATCAATAAGTTTTGAAAAATAATTAACATACAAATTTAGTCTTTATTCATTTAATCATGATTTTTAGTTAGGTTTTTTTTTTTTGGTTTCATCCATTGAAGTTTAATTTGTTAAGGATTTTATTTTATGATTTTTTTGAGATTTACCTTCTATAATATAATATCGGCCTCATAACTAGGATTACAAGTTTAGAAGATTAGCTTTAATGGATTTATGTTTTGTTAACATATATTTTTTAATTTTATTTTTCAATTTTTGATTTGTTACAAATTAACTTTTGTTATTTTATTTTTTTGAAGTTATTTTGATCTCATGTCTTGGATCATGGATTTAAATCTTTTTTTTTTTATATATATATATATATTTTGAATGTTAATATTTTTATTAATTTAGTTTATTTATTGTCATTATTATTTTTAAGTATTATTAGATTAGTTGAAGTTATTAAACATAACTGGCTCAATGATGCAATTCTCTAATTGTTTTTAAATCTAAGGTTTTTATGTTTATAAATAAAATTAAATTTTTATTCTAGAAATAAAAGTAGAAGTTAGGATGCTTGTATTCTAACTCTATTTTCAACCAAAACTCTCCGTTCGTGTTTCTTTCTGCATCACCGTGTCACTGATTTCAAAAAGTTCTCCCCCAACAACACGGCATCATTGCATTATTATTATTTTATGCATTTCCATCAAAATCATATGGTTATTATTTTCATAGAATTGGAACTTGCTTTTAGAATAATTAGAGAATATTGTCTAAAAAAAAATATTCTAGTGAAAGTTTTCCTTAAAAAAAAAAATTAATGAGGAAAAAGAATTTTGGTTAGAAAAGGATTTTCTATCCTTATTTTAAATTACGTTGATCTTTTTTTGTATGTTTTCTAGATACTTTTTATTTTTATTAAAAGCATATAAAAATTACTGTATATTTTAAAAAATCAAAGTTATCAATGAGAAAAACAACACTTCTACTATAATATTATTTCATTTCAATTAAATTTAAATTATTTCCCTTTCTATAAAAAATATCAGTTTCATATAATTAATTTAACAAAATTAAAGGGCTTTCGACAATGTATAATTAGATATATTAATCTGTGCGTGTTTTTCAAACTCCATGACTAATATTTAGTTAGCTTAAGATTTTTCTTTAATATTTATGAGCATACATAATCCCTGATCTATTGCATTAAAATGTGAGTTAATAATTAGGATTTTGTTTACCGCTTTAAAATATATTAGCGACACTTTGAAATTCTATTTTATGTAAAAACACTGGCCCAACACATAACGTAACGTGGCCCAATTACTCCGTGACTGCTAGATAAACAAATCTCAAAACCCGTTATATAATCTCGGTCCCAGTATTATTTTAACCCACGGCCATCACTGATCAGCCTCTATAATGGGATAAACCATGAGGCCCAATAATGGCCCATGACCATAAACAGTTAGAAAGCAAGATGCCCAATACCATTGAAGGCAGAGATGTGAGCGGTTAGTTTTCGCCATGCTTTCTTCTTCTTCTTCTTCTTCTTCTTCTTTTGAAGAGACTAACCTGTTGCTGCTACCAATATCACCATGTTACCCTGGAAACCCTCAAGCATTAACTTGCAAGAAGGCTTTTGTCACCCTTTAGGAAAAGCAAGCTAAAACTTCCTCCACTTCTTATCCGGCACCGCAAAAGCCGAACTTAGCGTCTATTTGTCATTTGCAATAATGGTTATATTTTAAGGTATTTTATTATTTAAAAGTATATTTTTTTAAAATATTATATTTGTTTGGAGGTAGTGCTAAAGTAAAGTTGATTCGTTACTTTTCACCATCATGAAAGTTGCCTCCTTTTTGAAAGAGGACGGCACCTTTCACTCATATCTAGCATAGTGAAAGATAAAAGGTAAAAATCAAAGCCAAAAGTGAACGATAACCAGAGGTTAAAACCAAAGAGCGTGCATGGACGAGGTCAAAGAGAGCGATCGATTTTAAAACCAAGAGAGCAAGACAGAGGCATAGCATGGCAGAGCTCGATATTTCTAGCAAGAAATTGAAAATCAAAGAGCCAAATTCAAGTGTCTTTTGCCATAAATGAGTTCAATCAAGAACGACCGACAAAGCTCTCTTGTCGCTTCAGCTACTGCTTCACCGCATTTGAAAGTCTTGGGAGTCGATTTTTTTTATCACACGTGTCCTTTTCATGTTAACGTAATCTTGTCGAGAGTGGTGGGGATATTTTTTTCAAAAGCATCATCTATTGTTTCAATCAAATGGCATCCTTTTCTTTCCCTTTCCTTTCTTTCCCACCACCATCTAGCCATGGTTTAATTTCTTTCTACTATTTTTTTTAATCTGGTGAGTTATACAGAGGTAATGCCAGATGGTAGATAATTATTAAAAAAATAAAGAAATAAATAGGTATTTTATTGTATACCCATGGTTTCACTGGCGGAGACGGGGTGGCAGGGCCCTGGCCCCTACAAAGAAAAGCTTTTCCCAACTGTTTCCTTGTAAATATTTATAATTTCAATAGAAATAACTGAAATTTTAATTTTTTTAAATAGTTTTTTAATTTGCCCCTCTAATTTTTTGTTCTTGCTCCGCCCCTGCATGGTTCACACAGATTCCTGCGCATTGTATGGTGTATTTTTTACTGTTTAAGAGGCTTATTATTCTACATTTTGATCCTTGTAGTTTTTAAAGTTTATATCTCAATTATAAAACTCTATTTTCTTCGGGTTTCAATCCCTAAAAATCATGAGATGAAATATAAAGCTGTTGAAAAAGTAAAATATAGAAAACTAAAGTCTTTCTTTCAACCACATTTCAACAATGAAAAACGCTAATCTCGGTGTTAATAGACTAGTCTAGCAGAGGAAAATTCAAAGGAGTTTATTTGACCCTTTAGTCGTGTAAAAAAAAAAGATCAAAATTAAAAAAAAAATCATATCAAGGACTCGTTATTTCCTAATCTGTTATAAAAATAATTTGGTTTTCATGTAAATTCAGTAAAACAAATCACACACATATACCGAAAAATTGTTTTGTGGATAAATAAATTAAAATTAGAAATACAGTTATTTATCTAATGAAATAAAAACCCATAGCATAGCGAAAATGATTAAGTTAGCAATTATTAATGCATTTTTTTTAAAAGAGAAAACAAAAATAAAAACAAAAAGAAGAAGATTTCTAACTTTAATCTTGTTTTTAAAAAATTCAAATTTTTTTTATTTTTATTAAAATTTAATATAATTTATATATTTTACATCATTTTAATATGTTAATATTAAAAATAATTTTAAAAAAATAAAAAAATATCTTTATTATATATTTAAATATAAAAAAATATTTAAAAAATAACCACAACGTACTCCTTTCTGCTTTCTCGTGGAACATGATTAAGGATCTAATTCGAGTACTTTATTTCTAAAGCCGATCATTTTTGGCGTCGAGTAGCTGTACTTTACCCCCACCAGGTTATTTAATTCAATCAATGTCTTGAAGTTACTTTTTAATTTATTAATTCAAATTAATATTATTTTTGTTTTGTTTGATAGCTGCTTTTTTTAGTTACAGTTATAGCCCAGCTTTTCGATAAACACGAATCTGTCCCAAAGAAATTCAACCACGTAGAGCTTATATTAAATCAATTAAACTATGACTCTTTCTCTTTGTGATGTAAAAGTCCAACTTTTCAAGGGAATCCAAGGTGCTGGCAATGGTTTTTTTGTCCTCATGTATTAAAATAAATCAGAAAAATAAAAATAAATACAGAAGAATAGCTGTACGTAGAGTTTTGAAGTAGAATTATTGGCTTGAACTGGCGTTTTGAAAAGTTTGGTTTTATTTTTATTTTAAATTAATATTTTTGATCATCTTGATATCAAAAATAAAGTTAAAAAATAAAAAATATTATTTTGATTTATTTTTAAATAAAAAATACTTTAGAAACAATCTTTATTACTGTGTAAAACATCCCCGTGAAATAAAATAAAATGTGGGTAGAAACCTAATAAAAAAATTAGAATTGTCCTCCTTATCTAGAAAACAAAACGGCCATTGAAGCATCCATCATGCGCAAGTAATGGCCATCTTCTTCTTTTTTACCGACCCTCCGTACTGGCTTTTTATTTGACTCTCCAGACACAGGCTCCCAATTTCTCCCATGGGCTCAGATTGTCAACACTCGTGTGAAAAACCATGCTGGGTGTGCCCAGGTTAGGTTTCCCACCCCTTCCCAGACCAGAGATTAACAAACAAGACCCAAGCTTCAATACCTTTTTTTTTTTTTTTAATTTTGTTTTCGGGGGAACGGAAGGTTTACGTGTCCTTCATATGTTGAAATCCCAGCACATCGAGTTGGACTCTTGATCCGTTACATCAGCAGGAGCTTGTCTTCCGTCATTTTGTTTAGTGCATGAGGCTATTAAATATTTTTTATTTAAAATGTATTAAATAATATGTTTTTTTATTTAAAAACTATTATAAAAAAATAATTTGACATTTGATTTAAACAGGCGGAAAACATTTTAAAATTATTTTTGAAAAATGGATTGAACCCGAAAAAACAAAAAAAAGCAAATAAACGAAGAAACCCTCCTCACATGGAAATTTGTTAAAAATAATTACTCACCGCTACACTCCACTGCGCATAAGTATTTTTTTAAAAATTAATTTTTATTTATTTATTTTAAATTATTTTAATGTGTTAAAATTAAAAGTATTTTTTTAAAAATAAAAAATATTAATATATATTTTAATATAAAATATTATTTAAAAAAAATTATAACCAATTTCAGACAGGTCATCTACCAACTCATTTCTTGATATATAAAGAAAAAAATTAAATCATAAAAGTAGGGCCCATGATGGATCACATCACATCTGCTGCTCCTTGATAATCCGATGGAGGAAAACAATCGATTGGTTACAGCTATCGTAGATCATCGTCACACCATCTATCTTCTCCCTCTTATCCAACTGACAATAAATTGGACAGATTGGGAAATTGGTATATAAAATAAAAAAGAAATGGTCAATTAAAGTAGCAAAATAACATAACGGTTCTGTAATATTTAATTAAATTTCGTGATTTGAAATTATGATATCAATTAAAAAATATTGTTAATAATTATAATAAAAATTTAATTAATATTATAATTCATAACCACAATATCAATTAAATTTAAAAGAAACTTATTAATTAGTTCATAATAACTAGTTAAACTAATTAACTACTTTATATTAAAAAAGAAAAAATAATTATGGGATGAATAATAACTTTTTAAGATTTTAATTGAAATATATTTTTGAATAAAAAATTAATAAAATTATGATTTATACATAATATATTTTGACTCATAAAATATATTTAAAGAAAAAATTAATAAAATTATAATTTATACATAAAAAAATTAATATTTATAAAATTAAATAAATTAATCGATGAATTGAATTAAAAAATTAGCAATGGACTACATATTAAATTATAAAAATTTAAAAATATAATACTTATTTTATCATGTTTATAAATAATAATATTTAATAAATATTACGTTTTTAAAAAGTTAAATTAAAAAAATGCTATGCGGTCGAATTTTTTTTTAAAATGATATTATTGCGCTAAACTTTTAACTTAATTAGCTAATTTTTTTTTAAATCTAACAAATTCCAAATGTGAACGTGGGAGTCCTTTAGAAAGTCGTTATCAATTGTACACCTTTCTCTGTCTCTCTTCCCATGTTTTCACGCACTGCTGTCTGAAAGTGCAGTTTGCTCATCTTCAATTAACTGCCTCTGCGAAAAATCTGCACCAGCTAGAATTTTGAGAAAGAAAGAGAATTGTGTGTCTGCTATCTCTTTTGCTTTTGGAATTCCAAAACAAGTATAGTAGAATTATAGAGATACAGTGAGAGGTATCAAGAAATCACCAAGAGTCCAAGTGAGAGATAGAGGGAGAGGTACTCCTTTGAGTCAACAGCATCTACAGCTCTCTCTCTCTAGCTTGCATTGTCAAACTTGGGGGAGAGATTTGTCATTTGAGAGCACAAAAGAAAAGAATAGAGAAATATATGCTGTTCCAAGAGCTAAAGATAATCTAGTCTGAAACGAACAGATAGGTTCCCCCCCCCCCCCCCCCTGCTATTTCCAAGTGAGGGAACAAGGACCGAGAGAGATTTGAAACAGAAGTAAAGATGGGTTCTTTATGTTATTTCTCTTCTCTCATTCTATTTCTTTCACTGTTAACTCCACAACAAATTTCTGGAAAGAATACGGAGCTTGAAGCTTTGGTGAAGCTAAAGTTTGCTTTAGATCCAACCAATAAATATTTACAGTCATGGACTAGTGAAGGTGACCCCTGCAGTGACTTATTTGAGGGCGTGGCTTGCAACGAGCATGGCCAAGTGGCTAACATTTCATTGCAGGGAAAGGGGCTATCTGGTACAATATCTCCTGCAGTGGCAGAACTGAAGAGCTTGTCCGGTCTGTACTTGCATTATAATTCGTTGTCTGGAGAGATACCAAAGGAGATTGTTAATTTGGCTGGGCTGTCTGATCTTTACCTCAATGTGAATAATCTTTCTGGGAGTATTCCTCCTGAGATTGGCAGCATGGCTTCTCTACAAGGTTAGTTTCTAGCCAATTTTGTTGAAAAAGTTTCGGCTTTGTTGAAGAACAAGTATGGGGTCTCTATATTTCTCTCTTGGTATTTATGTTGTGTGTTATTGTGCTTTACATTTCCTGTTTCTCTTCTAAAAATTGAGTGAATGGTAACTCATATGTTCGATGTAGAAGAGACAAAATCTAGTTTTGCTTGTTAAATTATGGCTTCTGTATCCTGGATCAGCGTGCCTGGCCGACTGTGTCTTTGTGATCTTTTTTTTATGCTGATAAAACGGAGGAAAAGCCACGAAAGTAAGCTTTCATTTATTCGATCTGTTGATTGACATGTCAAACAAAAAAACAAAAAACTGAAAGAATTAATGCTACGATTAGGCAAAAGAAGAAAGTTGTGTTTGTTAGTTTGGCACCAAAGTCTTATGGAGAAGTGATCAGTTAAAAAGCACTCATCTGGTTCATCTTTTATTAAATATGAATCTTGATTTTGTATTAAATATGCATCTTGATTTTGACTGTACTCTTTTGACAATCATACATTTACGACCAAAGAATTGAACATAAGATAGGGAAATTGAAAGCTTTCTTGAACATCTAACAAGATATTCCATTATACACAATTCAGTGGGATTTTCTTAGATGATTGTTTTTCCATGCACCAACTGAATCGATAAGCTATACTTTAACTTCTCTTTTCTCACATCTTCTCACCAAACAAATGCGCCACTACATTCGGCTGTCTATGTTGTGTGCCTAGTTGTCAAGATCTATGGCGCAGAGCATTCTTAAGAGCTGGTAATGTTTCAAGCATTTTTGTGTCAATTTTGATTAATCGGTTATTTCTTTGTTTTGTAGTTTTAGAGCTATGTTGTAACCAGCTCGCAGGGTACATACCTACAGAGATGGGGTCCTTGAAGAAGCTAAGCGTTCTAGCATTGCAGTATAACAGACTATCTGGTCAAATTCCTGCCAGCTTAGGGACCTTGGGAATGTTAAAAAGGCTTGATATGAGTTTTAATTACTTGTCTGGGACCATTCCTCAAGGAATAGCTAACATTCCACGTCTGGAAGTGCTGGATGTCCGGAACAATTCTCTTTCTGGAACTGTTCCTTTTCGTAAGTACATTTTGTCTAACCTTAAAAAAACTTCTTCTTGAATTATTTTGTTTCTTCCGCGTCTCATCTTCCAAGTGATAGCCAACGGCTTGCTGTATGCATTTTCGTTCCTTGTAGATTTTTGTTATGCATATTGAGCTAGACTGATTTTATGTTTTTGATAATAAAAAATGAAGCTTTGAAGAGATTAAATGGGGGATTTCAGTTTGAGAACAACGAAGGTTTATGTGGAACTGGATTTCCTCTATTGAGAGCTTGCAGTGCTTTTGATAATATGAACATCAACCAAGTTGGCTCGTTGGAACCGATCGCTAATAATTCTGCTCGAAAAGTTATCCCCCAGTCTGCAATTCTGCAGGCACATTGCAACCAAACCCTTTGTTCAAATTCATCAAAACTTCCACAGGCTGCCATTGTGGCAGGTGTTATTATAGTCATTATCACATTGATGGCTGCTGGATTTCTTATCATTTTCTGCTATCGCCGGAAGAAACAAAAGATTGGGAATACATCTGATTCTTCTGATGGTCGGCTAAGCACTGACCAGGCAAAGGAGTTCCACAGGGCTGGTGCCTCTCCACTTGCAAGTCTTGAGTATTCTAACGGATGGGACCCTTTAGGTGACAGCCGAAATGGCATTGAATTCTCTGTAGAGCATCTAAATAACTTCAGATTCAACCTGGAAGAGATCGAGTCTGCTACCCAGTGCTTTTCTGAGGTGAATGTATTGGGAAAGAGCAACTTCTCAACTGTCTACAAAGGAGTTCTCAGAGATGGTTCTCTTGTAGCTATTAAGAGCATTAACGTAACCAGCTGTAAACCTGAAGAAGCCGAGTTTTTAAAGGGTTTAAACTTGCTAACATCTTTGAGACATGACAACCTCACTCGGCTGCGAGGCTTTTGTTGCTCCAGGGGCAGGGGTGAATGTTTTCTTATCTATGATTTTGCTCCCAAGGGAGATCTGTCAAGATACCTTGATTTAGAAGATGGAAGCAACCAAGTTCTTGACTGGTCTACAAGAGTTTCCATTATCAATGGCATCGCAAAAGGTCAGTTTTATTCTCATTTTCTGCCGCCACAATTTGATTTCTACTGTATTTTGCCTCAAATAAGTCAAAATGTAGGTGGATAGACTATTGGTAATGAGAAGTAGATGAGAAAGTGCAATGGAAAGTTTGGCAATCATGTTTTCATTTCTGACATATGTAGCTCTATCATTTATTCATCAATCAAAAGTTTGGTTTTTGCCTCTTCCCATTAATGGTTTTCCTTAAAATATTAAATCAAGGCTTGAGTTTTGCTCAATAATTTCAAACAAAATGCTACATGGGACAGAAGATTAAAGTTCCTACTAACAGTGAGTTTCTGGACACTTATTCTGTTCTTTATTGTCATTTAGGTATTAGATATTTGCACAGCATTGAAGAGAAGAAACCTGCCATAATTCATCGAAGAATATCTGTTGAGAAGGTCCTCCTTGACCAGCAGGTAAATCCATTAATTGCAGACTCCGGCCTTGCTAAGCTTCTAGCAGATGACATTGTCTTCTCAACTATCAAAATCAGTGCTGCCATGGGATACCTAGCTCCAGAATATGTAACTACAGGGCTTTTTACGGAAAAGAGTGATATATATGCATTTGGAGTGATCATCCTCCAAATCCTATCCGGTAAACAGTTGCTGTCCAATTCAATGCGATTGGCAGCTGCATGTTGCAGATACAATGACTTCATTGACAAAAGCCTCCGTGGAAACTTCTCCGAGCCTGAGGCAGCGAAGCTGGCAAAAATTGCACTAACTTGCACTGACGATCTCCCTGACCAAAGACCAACCATGAAGGAAGTGATTCAAGAGCTGAACCTAAGCAATGCTGGTTCTTAACGGCCATATTTCTCTGTACCCCACAAATTGTTCTATCATGCAACCAAGGAGACCTTACTAAACAACGCCGCTGCTGTGACTCCTACTGATATCACACTCTGTCGCTTGGATGGAAACTAATGCTTACCGCAAACTGGAAAAGATGGTTAGTTGGTTGATGAGAGTCGCTCTAAAAATCCCTGTAATCTTAATCGTAATAATTTTTAGCTTTATCTCTTCGATAAACTGTATGTTATAATCCCTTGTAAACTACATAAAAAAAGAGAGAATATTTTGTAGTATTATGATTGATTTTGTCTATGAAAGCAGTTTTTCGAATAGGATCTTTTCTTTGTCAGTCTGATGTAATTGAGGTGGCTTCATTTTCATTTTATTTTAGGCTTTGGTACTGTTTATCACAGGAAGAAAGAAAACAATCAAGTATCTTAGTTATCAGGGTACTTGTGTTTATTCATTAACCTTATCGCAAAAAAGTTCTAATCATTCCAGGAAAGATGGACTTGTAGCTCTAGGACCTCTTCGGAAAGTCCTAACGACTAAGGGTTGTAAATCATAGATTCACAAGAAATCATATAAAAAGCGGCTAAACTTCTTCTAGTAATTAACCATTCCCCCCCACCCCCTGCTCATCATCAATGGAGAGACTACCACTGAGTGTATCTCTCCACATCTTCGAACTGCCAGCAGCTTCTTCTCTAGTTCAATGCGAGAAACTGTGTCGACCTTGGCGCAAATTGACACATCATCCCGAGCTCAAGAGGCAGCACTCAGTTATCATCAATTTATGAGAAACCAGAACTCCCTCGTTCTCCTCCATTCCAACCCTACTAGCCTTCGTGATTCTCTGTATGTCATTGAACACTGCGCTTTTCAAAACAATAATGATAAAAATGCAAATAATCCAACCTTCAAAAATTATGTGCTCAGGTTTAGTTCTGTCTCCTCTCTTGCAATAGTTTTCCGTGTTCAACCCACTCCGAAGAGCAAAACTATCCTATGATAAAATCTGCGTTTACAATCCTTTCACCAAAGGGTTCTCGTTTGTACCTCATTGCATAATGATGGTTAAAAGGGAATACAACAGTGCAGCTTTCGGGTGGGGGTATGATCCTTTTAATCACAAATACAAGGTTGAAAGAACAGTGAATCGTTCTGGGGTGTGTGGATCAAAAGATTGAGGTGTTCATCCTAGGGCAGTAATTGGAAGCACATCAAACTAGTCTCTTTCATTCTTCCAGTGCAAACATATCAAGCTTCGGTTGGAGCTCTTCATTGGATGGGCCAAGCAAAGGAAAGAGACTCAAAAATCGTTGTCACTCAACCTTTATGACAATACCTTTCACGAAATCCAGAGTCCATGCTGCAAGCTCGATTGTAACTGCTACCTGGATGCCTTTGGAGGGTCCCTGCCTGTGGTTTGTGGTAGAGACCCGAATCAAATCGATATGTAGCAGATGAATGGTTGTGGAACAGAGACTTGCTGGATCAAGACATTAATCGTGAGATCAAATATTTCAAGAATACAAGGAAGCACTCGACTTCTATGCCTATTCGGAAAGGGCGAGTTATTATATTCTGGTGATTTACAAAGCGAGGTTCAGGCATATACATACAGGCAGCCATTCTTGGTCTCAAGCAGTTGCTCTTATCGGGAGCTTTGTCACAGTATTCTTGTAATATGTTTGAACAGTTTGTCTTATCTACCACTCTCTATTGCAAACGTTGAGGTGACTCGGACAAATGGTAGAGAAGCAAATATAATAGCTATAGGATTCTTCTCTTTTCTTTTTTCCAGTAGGGATTGTTCTTTCCATGCCATTCACATTAGTGGTGAATGAGTGTTGGAATAGAACGACGGATATTTTCATTTCCTACTATTCAAGACCTAAGTTCACCTTATCAACGTAATGCTCTTTCGAGTCCTGATAACACTAGTATTGCACTGATGTTGCATTAATGCAGAAATTTTAAAGCACCAAAACACGAAAACATATGACAAATCCTTTGTTGGATAGTAAAAATGGCAAAGATAATCTCCATCAAAAGAAAAAGACTATGGCATAGATAATCACACGAGCATCACAGGATTATATTTATTTTCAAAAGCTTGTGCTTTGAAAGAAGTCCTATATCAGTGGTGCTACTGTACACATGAAAGCCACGAACTCCTAATAAAGCTTATCAGGGAAAAAAAATTCTAATAAACAACACTAATGCTCGTTCTCCTCCACGTTAACTAATCAAACCAGCCAGTTTCCTTTCTTCCCATCTAAGTAACGAATTGATAATGGACGTCCTCTGCGAGATCAAGATCAAAATTTATCACACTTACCAGAAGAGCGGAAAATTTAATAACAATCAACCAGGCATTTGACATGGGAAAACGGGTAGAAGACAATCAATATAGCATAAAACATTTAAATTCCTTCATACACCAGCAAATCAACAGTTAGAAAGAATTGCATGAACGTTAGCGCACCACCAATTTTGAAATTGACTTTTGTCGTATTAATGCATGTAGTTAGATAAGTACATACGAGTTTAACACCCTCTTTTTATTAACTCCTCTAGAAAAAAGGAAAGAAATATGCAATTACATTTCATCCTCAAAAAACAATTGATAAAAAGATACAAGTTTTTAACCTGTAGAATACCTGCGCTATCAGAAAGGAGGCTAACAGGTGCAGGATTTTTCTCTTGTCCAGAAAGATCTATCTTATCCTTCATAGTTAATACTCTAAGCCACTGCACTATGCTGTTGATGCTCTGAAAACCATGTGGCAGGCCACCATTTTGGTCTAATGGCCTCAACCTTTATGTCCTCCTGCCCTTGTATGGTCAATGAACCTGACCCTTTAAAGGCTTCTTCCAACCGCAAAACACCCAGCCCTCTACAGCCAAGTGCAGTCATCACATACCCAATTTTCTTGCCAGATGCTCTGTTGATGACTTCAGAACCTGGACCAACTTTCTGGTCCACTTCTAAAATACAAAACAAAAATTGCTCAGGATGTATACATAAAAATTGGATGCTAAAAAGTCCAAATGGAACAAAGAATACCTTTTCCACTATCACCTAGAAACACCAAAGAAAGCAATCGTTTGCGAATGACCCCTCTGTGGTGTGTTCGAGCTATAAACTCTTGGCCCACATAGCATCCTTTGTCAAAGCTTATTGCATTTAAACCCTCCAGATTGTATTCAAGAGGAATCGCTTCACCTAAACAGCCCAAATATAGTAAGCTCAGGTTGATAGGTCAGACTAGAAAGAAAGATGAGGGAGCAAAGGAGAGCAGTTTGAGGATATACTCAGAAGATAATAATGCCAGTATACCACCGACATATATGGACATTCAAAGAGTAGAAGAGATTCCTCAAAAGTGAAGAGAAGGACGAACCTTTGGGGATCTCAGTTGAGCCTTCTGCAACTCCATTCTCAATCCTCCATGATAGGTAATTCAGTTCATTTGTTTCTTTGTCAGATTCTACCAAAGGTGCTGTAACATTCAAAATAGTAGGAAAAAAGACGAATTAAAAGTAAATAAACAACTACTGATTTAATCAGTCAGAAAGTTTAATGCATAATGAGCTCTTCAGCCTCATAACCTATGTGCTCTTGTATTAACATCAAGCAACCAATGAAGGCTCAGGAAACTCACGAGTCTCTTTAGATGGAAAGACCCCCCTTAAACCAAGACAATCTACTCTGGGGTCCTTAAACCATTGCCATCCAACATCATTCCCATGTAAAGATGACATGGCAGAATGATCAACACCAGGGCCCGAGCTAGCTGCCTCTGGCTCTTCTTCACCTTTTGATTTTTCAGCAAGGTTCCCACCAAACCATTGCCAGCAAGAGAAGTCTTCTGCCACGTTATCAATTTCAACCTTTGACCTCAACCGGTACCTGCAGAGCAGAAAGAAAGTTAACGGGACAGCACCAATAACTAAAATTAAGAGGATTGAATAAGCAACCAACACAAGTTACAAGTTTTTAAACGGTCTAATTGCTTTTGCTCTACACCATAATGAGATCTACCAATACAGATGTACGAACCCACTCACGCACTTTAGCTACTAGCAGACCACATTCAACAAGTTTTCCAAGCAACACCCCCACCACCACCACTCAATTGATAACTACTCAAACTAATTGCAACCAAGAATGACTATGAACATCAAAACAACTACACAAAAATATATCCCCTCAACATCCAACAACACTACCCCTAAACCAAGCCAGCATGCCCTACCCCTTCAGTCCATCTCCTACTTGTACAAGTTAAAATGTTAGAATTCCGATAGTTGTACATGTTGCTAATCGAATTACCAATTCCATTTGATCAAAGTTTATTTCTTTTCATTAGCTAAAAAAAGGAAAAATCAATTGAAATATTATCTAACAAGAATCAAAGTTTCCCTAAAAACTCAAAAATATTTGGCATCGAAGAACCCAATTAAGAGAAACGAATCACTTACCTTTTAAAAGTATGCAATAACTCATCAAGAACCGAGCTATCCACATCAGCAAACAACTCCAAATCCCCACCCGAATCCGACCCAGGACCCGACTTCTCATCGCCCAGAGGCTTTCTATACAAGAACAAATCATACAAGAACCTCCCTTGTGGAGTCAAAAGCGCAGCGTACATAGGAGGAGCATAGACAGAAGGCAAATTTAGAGTGGGTACGTACGATGTTGTCCTGCTTGGGAGTTCACTGAATTTTTTAACATCGTTTGTCAATAAACCTTGCAAGAATTTGATTGTGTCTGGACCGCTGAACCGGATTACGGACCGGGATTTTAAGAGGGAAACAAGAGGACCTGTGCTTGTGTTGTTTAAGGTGTGGTAGTTTTTGGGAAAGATTGTTTTGAAAAGATGCATTTTTTGGTGGCGTTCCTGGGTTCTGTTTTGGGTTTCATGGCTTTTTTGAGGCCGTGATGATGGGGTTCAAGTGAGTTGTGCTTGAGACACGTGGATTATGACAGCGTTTGAGATTATGATTAGTATTTTTTTTTAATATCTTTATTTGAATTTATTAAAATAATATTTTTTTAAAATTTATTTTTAATATTAATACATTAAAACTATTTAAAATAAAAAAATAAAAAATATTTAAAAACATTTTTTAAATACAAAAACACACTTAACTTTTTTTAAAGCTATACTGAGGTAGGAAAACTGTGAATAAATGGTGATTTCTTGGCCTAAAAAATTCTGAAGAATAAATTTTATTTTTAAGAATAATTTTTTCATTTTCGAACAATATGAAAAAAAATTAATTTGAAATAAAAAATAGTAATTATTTATAAAAAAAAAATTAAAACACAATACACAAATGCATATCGACCTGTGGTCAATTGACTGACAAACACGGGTGAAAATCTTGGACTCGGAGTCTGCAAACAGATCCTGTAATTAGGCCAGATATCATAACGGACCCAACCCACTACTTGCTAAGATATTTGTTAAACTGTAGTTTAATTCCAGCTTTTAATTATTTATTAGAACAATTTTTTTTAAATAAAAAATAATATTTGAAATCCAATCAGAAACCGACCATAAATAAACTCTTGTAAATTTAGATTGCTGGTATATGTTGTTGTTATTATCACCACAATCACCACCTTTATTATTATTATAATTATTATTATAGGAAAACCCAAATAATAAATTAATTGAGGTGGTCACTTGGCATTTCTTCTCGAGCGATTTATTTCTCTTCAGCCATGGTTGGCTAATCAATTACGTCAAATATTGGTGTTTAAACAAACTGGGTCCAACCCATGGAAGGGAGGGAGCGGGCACAGCCATCCTTGACATTCATTCATTTCTCTTATTTCCTCGCTAGACAATCGATAACAGACCAATATTTTATTATTCAAATGGGAGTAACATCATCACCATACATTAGTTATAATATCGGCCTCATATTTTTGTTGTGAACACGTTTTTTATTTTTATTTTTTATCTGGTCTTAATTTAACATGTTGGCTCTAGGCTAGTCACCCATTTCACTGATTCGCATGCGCATCTTCTAACAACGCATGGAAACCCCATGGTGGTTTTGGCTTCTGATATTAAGCTCCTCCATTACTTTTCAATGGACTTGAGCTGAGCAGTTGTTTCTTCTTTGATTCCCTCGCAAGGAAGCCGCAAGAAGGGATACATAGAAGATTGGATTGCCATACGTCAGAACACGAGTAATCTCTTCTGTGAATTATATCCAATATCAAGTTGAGGTCGCTTTCACTCTATAAGAAAGAGAGAAAAGATTATATATAGAAGTGGGTAAACCTAATTTAACCAAGTTATTGTTGGACGTCAACTTCATGCCCGTCAAATCTGAGAAGGAAGAGTGAAAGTATCTAACTTGATGTAGCAAAAGTCATGAAAGTGAGGAGAGGCTGATCAGACGACTACATCAGCAATATTTCTTCCATTTTGTTCGTGCTTAATAAACAGTTGTTTTACTTGGAGAAAGTCAGAGCTGGAAATTAATGTCTTTTTGATTTTGATGAGATATGAGATACCATGCTGGTTTATTAAGCTTGGTCTCTGGCGGCTTCAAGCATGGTGGGATTTCCATCTCAAAACGTTGTTAGAGGAAGTTGCTTTCAGATTTTAACAACAGATGACTTGCATTTATCATCCTTCTAGGAGAGGTGGAGAACTACAGGGATATATATATATATATATATATATATATAT